ATATTCCAAGGGCATTAGAAGGTCTGATTCTATGTCCATGGGGTTCATATTAATAACATCCTTCGCTGGTAATCCTGGCAGACTTGGTGTGATCTGATTATGACGCTGTACTGGTGAGTCTACTACATCTAGTGTAGAGGTTGACACAGATTGAGCCAACCCATACGACATTTGTCTTTTTGTGTTTTCATCAGTATGTGAATAGTTCTTAATTGTCTGCTCGGACTTTTGTCCAGATACAACCATAATATGTCGTGAGGCAAACCCTAGCGCATCTAAGTTGGTTATCGTTGTTGCTCGCAGGCAGTGGTTTGTGTATGGCCTTGAAAGGTTGTAGCAACTGGACATTGTTTTGGCCATGTTTCCAAGGGTATTTTTCCCGAGAGGAGAGTCACAATACCAAACCAAATCTTCTTCTATTTGGTTTCGAGGGCGTTGGAAAAATACATCGCACTTTGGATTGAGGTGATTTGTGTATTTGATGAATGAGGCAATAGGACATGTCGCATTATTATTGCCTGAAAATACATAAATTAAAAAAAATTAGATAAAAGTATTTATAAATCCACGTGCACATAACAGAACAGTAAGTGAAAATAAACACACATGTATTGTATTGTATTGTATTGTATTGTATTGTATTGTTTTGTACTGTTTTGTATTTTATTGTCAAAGTATTGTGCCAAGACAGAGGACTGACGATTTTGAGATTTTTTTAATAAGTACTACCTTACCTTTCAATTCATACATTCTTGGTGATTTGTCTTCTGCGTCATCACTACCCTGGTGGTTTTTGGTCAGTATGTGACGGGACATTTGCACATATCTCAGACCCGTTGAGTCTACCTCCATGACAAAGTCTTCTTTGGTATAATTACGCAGATTTTCACGTCCACGATTACACATGTATATCATAATGTCAGTAAATACTTTATGCAGAAGGCCTCTAGGTGTGTCTAATTCAAATGACGAATATAATTTCTTTAAATCATTGCTTTCCAGTGGTTGCTTGTGTTTTACATCAGCCAGACCCTTTCGTTTCATTTTTTCAACAAAGCATTGAACACTTTGTTAGGCTTGCAGAACTGATCGTCCTCACTGAGATCACAGTTGAACTTATCTCGAAAATACCGTTTAAGTCCGTATTTTACTGTTTGGAGTGATTAATTTGTGTTCAGATTCCCGTCTTGTTTCCGGCAGGCCGGCCAAAATTTCTCCAATATAGATCCTATCATTTCTGGATTGTCTGAGTCAGCATCGCAGTTAGTTTCTCCACAGTACTCTTCGAAGAGTTTCCTTGAAGATTTGATAATGTTTTTTGTAGCCAAAGAATCGGCTTGGTCAATCAATTTATCCAAATCATCGTCATTTATCGTTTCGAAACGACCAGCCATATTGTCGTCTGAACTGAACTTTGAATGCGCACTAAAGATGCGCAGTCGTTTTCCTGTGATTTCAATGACGTCATCGGTCATTAGTAGCATTTATCTTCCCCGTAATCTGCGAAAGCGGGGATTTAATACTTTCCAGGGAATTAGTCTATCTATTTCATATCATGTGACCATGAATTGACCAATAAGCGTATAGAATACATATGAGGTATGTAATAATTTGTGCTAACAGGTAAACTCAATTGAAATTCCCAAGCTTGATACAATCCTACACTTGATTCATATAAGATGTATGGTTATAAGATGATTACGGTTTATAGGCATATTTTGCCTGTTTAACCGATCAATACTTAAGGTTAGTAACGATGTATAAAATGATAGTCCACTGTATGATCGTATTTCATTGGGTGATTGTACCAGTGGGAGTCCAATCTGTTTTTGAACTGATTCACACTTTGGGCATATAACTACCCATTCTGTTATACAATTCCATTGTTTTACTACTCTCTGGCTAAATGTGTGCTGTCTTGTGGATGTTTTACAATGTGACTTAAATAGATACTGGGTGTTACATCTACGTGTTCGTTGTGGTACTTCTTGCTGGAGTAGACTGGGAAAAAGTAGTTTTGTATTTACATCATAGAAGTTATTAATATACTTGTATGTCTCTATCATATCTCCTCTGAGTCGTCTAAATGCAAGTGTTGTCATATCTAGTACCTTAAGACGTTCAGGGTATGAGAGTTCCCTCAGTGATGGAATTATTTTTGTCGCTCTTCTTTGTACATTCTCAATGATTTCAATATCCTTCTTTAGGTATGGATTCCAAACTGCATTCGCATATTCTAATTTAGGTCTCACTAGTCCATTGAACAACAACCTAAAAGAGTCAAAGTCCCAATATTTGAAGGATCGTTTTATCATACCCAGGGTTTGATTTGCTTTATTTGCCACTATTTTGACATGTTCACTAAACTTTAAATTGCAGTCCATATAGATTCCCAAGTCTCTTTCGCATTTTGACTTACTGATTGTCATATTATCATCATTGCTGTTATTTCGCAAGGTATAGTCACATTCTGCATTTCTCCTTCCTAAATGCAAGACTGAGCACTTGCTTGTATTAAATTTTAGCTGCCATTTATCTGTCCAGGTTTGGATTGCATCAAGGTCTTTCTGAAGGAGTTGATTTTCTGTTGGGTTTGTCACATTTCTGTAGAGCTTTGTATCATCAGCAAAGAGACTAATTTTACTTTGTTTTACCACGTCAGGCATGTCGTTGATGTATATTAGGAACAAAATCGGCCCGAGCACACTTCCCTGAGTTATACCGGACGTTACAGGCATCCATTCAGCTGATGTTCCATTTATTACTACTCTCTGCTGTCTTTGGGTTACAAAATGGCTTATCCACCTGTGTGCGATACCTCTAATTCCCATGTATTTCAACTTTAGAAGCAGTCTTTGGTGAGGTACAGAATCAAACGCTTTCGCCCAATCTAAATAGATTTTGTCTATAGCGCCCCCTATATCAATTAGTCGAGTCCATGCTTCTATAATTTCAAGTAAATTTGTTGTACAGGATCTGTTTGGTAAGAAACCATGTTGTGCTGTCGATAATAATTTGTTCTTTTTCATGTGGTTCAGTAGTTGGTGTCTTATTGTGTTTTCTAGTAGCTTGCATATGATACTTATCAGGCTCACTGGTCTATAGTTGGTGGGGTTGGACTTGGAACCTTTTTTGAAGATGGGGGTGACATTTGCTCGTCTCCAGTCTATTGGTAGATACCCATCTTTCAGAGATCTTTTAAAGATAACATATATTGGGTATGAGATAATATCTGCCAGGCCTTTTAAGATTATTCCTTTTATCTTATCTGGACCTGGGGACTTGTTGGTTTTTATTGTCTCGAGGGCTATCTTTACCTCCGGCTCAGATAGAGACCATTCTTCAATATAAGAACCTATATATATAAAGTCAAGTAGAGGCATGTTATCTGTATCTTCTTTTGTAAACACATCAGAAAAAAAGTTGTTCAACAGATCTGCCTTTTCTTGTTCTGTTTCTGTCTTAGTGTCATTGTCTTTGTCTAGGTTGGTATTCCTATCCTGGTCTTTGTTTTAGAACCCGTGTATTTCCAGAATAATTTAGGATTGGATTTTGCTGATTTTGCTATTTTCTTTTCATACCTTCTTATGGCTCTCCTAACCTCTGCCTTGGCTTCTTTGCAAATCTTCTTATAGGCTTTTTCATCGTCCTCGGTACAGGATTTGTTTTTTCTTCTCTTGGACATCTTGTTATAGGCTCTCCGTTTTGTTCTTATCTTCTTCATACATTCATTATCTATCCACGGTTCTTTCTTTTTTTGGGATTGTGTAGTTGGGATGTGTCTTTTTGTTGTTTCTTCTAGTTTATCTTTGAAGAGGGCCCAGCATTCCTCGGTAGATTTCCCTTGAAATGCTTTTTCCCAGTCAATGTCCAAGTCAGCTTTCATGGCTTCAAAATTCCCTCTGTGAATAAGCTGTATCTCTTTGGGGGATGGTTCGAACTTTGTTCCACAATTCATTTCCATAGATAGCAGACAATGATCACTTTTTCCGAGTGGCGAGATAGTTTTATTATTTGTAATTGTATCTGGTTCATTTGTGATGATAAGATATAATATATTGGATTGTTGGTCGGGTCTAATACGAGTTGGTTCTACTTGATGTTGTGTCATAAAATTATCCTCAGTTATCTCTAAGAGTTTTTCACCTATTTCTCTGTTTGGTCCCGGATTCACTGTATTCAAGTTCCAGTTTATATTTGGCAAGTTAAAGTCTCCAACTATTGTTAAATAATTTGGAGCTTTTCCACACATTTCTTGTATTTGTGATATGAGATTAAGGGAATTTTCTTTTGAACTGTTAGGACTTCGATACAAACATCCGATTGTGGCTTTATTTACTCCTGAACCTACATTTATCCATATTGATTCTTTACTGTTATCAGCTAGTTCTATTTGGGAGCATTGTAGTCCTGATTTAACATATACCGCTACTTCCCTGCTATTTTCTACTTCTATATTATTAAAACATTCATACCCGTCTATCTTTAGTTCGGTACTCATAATGGGATACCTGGTATTTTTGGGTTTAACTTCTGTTAAAGCTATAACATCTTGGTTTTCTATCCCTATTATTACATTCAGCTCATCTTTCTTATTTATCAATGAGTCACAATTGGTATAAATCAGTTTAAGAGAGTTTTTATGTACACTATTTACACCATTTACAGCACTAGTAGCTTGTCATTGTTTCCTGGAGTTTGGGGTTCTACTCTTGTGGCCCTGATATTTTCTTTGTCGATTAGATCCTGATTGATGATATACTATGTTTTGTTGTCGTTCCTCTTGTTTTTCTGCCTCATGATAGCTCGATTCTTCCAGTATCTCCGCTCTTCTCTATGGGGTCCCGATTTGTGATCTGGATAGAGGAGTATCATTATTTCTGGATTTGTCCTGGAAGTAACTTGCTGATGCTTGCTCTTCTGCTCTTTTCTGAGGATTATAGTATTGCTGAGGTGGTAGCCATGGTGATGCTGGTGGGTGATATGTTTGGCTTTCCATATCAGACTCTATTGTAGGTTTCCTCTTCATCTGAACTTGAAATTGGATGCCTGTTTCTATTTCTCTGAGACTGATTTTGAATATTTCTATCTCTATTTAGTCGAGGGGGGTCAGTGCTAAACTGGCGCTTCTTGAGTATCTTCCCGTTTCTTATAATGAGGTCAGTTTCTCCATTTTCTAAGCGTCTGTTTCTTTCTTGGCGTAATTCATAAGCTAGTCTTCTTTCATGAGGGGTCAGGTCTGCCTGGATGTATGTAGTCCTCCATGATGCAGTGGTTTCACTAACTTTGTGTACAAGGGGCAGATGAAAAATACAAGAGGCGGCATTCAAAATAACCAATTTTACGCTCCCGACAATGCAAATTCTTGTTATTTTAGAGTCCATGGACTGAAAGAAAGATGTCCAAGGTTTGTCAAAGTCATTTCCACGTGTGATGTGACAAGACATGGGCTCCACAAAATAACACCTGGAACTGTGGAATGACTAGGGCAACTTATATAGAATGTCATTTACCTTTTATAAGATAACTTACCCTTACACAGGTTGCATTTCACAAATCCAAATGCACCCGTTGAATTGAACACTTTTAATAGAACTCAAAATCTAGAATTGTCATTATTAAAATGAGAGTGATGTATTAATGGATGATTCACTTGTGATTATGTGTATATCAGATTCATTTTAGTTTTTACCGCCTCCAGACATTGCCAGAAATGGTGACATACAGGGTGTTCCAAAAGTAACAGGACTGGTGCCGGTATTTTGTTAAATATGCACCAATTGTCTTCAACATTTTACATAATGTACCTTCATGTTTTGTAACTAAAATTGCCGAATTAGATAATTATTGTCGAAATTGATTTAGAAATCGGCCGATGACTAATCATCGGCCGGCGCCCGGCGCATATGTGGCCAAGGCATTAGAGAGAGACCGAGGTGGGAGATATCCCCCTCCCCTCTACACCAAACTTGTTCTCACTACGTTTTCGAAAATTGCCTGAAAGGCCTCCTCATACATTATTAAGGAAAACATATCTACACATTTTGCGCATTTAACCATTTGATAACATATTGTGGATCTAATCTTAATTTGTTAATGTGAATTCACACCTTCATTTGCATGGAAGACTTTGATAAAATCCTTTAATGATGATTTTTGTTAGAAAGCTGATGTTTGGCTACTTCGAAATTCCAAATTGAACAGTCTACTAAGAATACCATGTTGTAAATATTGTTTTCAATATGTCGAGCTAGGACTGCGCAAACAAATTCGCTTTTTGTAGCTACAAGTATTTAATTTCAATAGATGATAAACTTCTCAATATAAGAAATTACCCTCATATAAGACATTGTTGCAAGGTGTGTTGCAATGAATGTGACACCCCGCATTATGTATTCTCGAAGAAAGCCATCATGATAAGCCATGACATCTCATTTCTTCTCAGCCCTGTGTTTCAGGTGAAACAGAAAGATGCCATGAGTATCAGAATGGAAGAAAGCATATATTTGCATTGATGGTGTATAGATAGTTATTTTATATAGTGTTTCTAGTTGTACGTGGAAACCTATTCTAACCAGGAAGAATATTGCAACTTTTTTCAAGATCCTAAAGTTGCAATTCTCGTTATTGTGTTTCATTGTAAAGACGCACCTGTGAAAATGCGTCGCTTGTACAAAGGCGTAGTTCTACATAAATTTAAGATACACTTTTTTAAACTTGTACGTGAACGTGTAGAATTATGAACCTGGTGGATTTTTTCTCCCTTTTGTACTGTTAATACTTGGCCGGTTGAGTATATAAAGGTATACATGTCCCAGCTTTTGGTAAGCGGGGGTCAAACCTCCTCCCCCCATCCACACATACACTTTTTATCATGCTTAAGTAACTTCGCATTGTAATTACAAGGGTGTTATAAACGAGACACCAGGATGATAATGTCGGGGTACAATATATTTTGAGAAAATTAGGGCCCAAATCTTGAGAAAGAGTCGAAGGCATGCGAGGCGAATTCTGGAAACTCGGGTTCGGGAAAGCGGGGTTCACTGTTTGGTTCCGTTGACACCTGTGCGAAACTACATTCATAATTTATCCGACAGTCGCTTTGATAATGTTTCTTTATCTCGTCTGCGACTCGATAAAGAGGAATTATTAAATCTCATCAAGAATGGACGATCTTGCACAGGTACTCATATAAGAACCTCTATATCTTTTTAACACCAATATATAACGGACACACCATGTTAAAAATAAAATGTTATATCTAATGTGCCAATTTAATGATTTAGCATATCGAAAATATTTTCAACCTAAGTGACCACATCGTGACATCACTTAGGTGGCAACATTTTTCAATGTCAATCTTTTCTAAATATGCTAAACAATAAACCAATTTTGACTGTCTAACCAGGTTAAAAGGATGAATATGTTTTTAATATTAGTTTACCATTGGTTTCTATGAGAATTAAAATTTTGAAATGCATCTTTCCCTGAACCACTTTCATGCATGGATGAGTTCATTGCTCGCTCACCTATCAACCAATTTTCTTGATTTTGTCGGCAAAAGAACAAGTGAGGATGATTGCTATACATCGGTGTGAATTATCGCTTTAAAGGATTAGTGTGACCTCTTAAAGTTAGTTTTGAATAAATTCACGATATTTTAAACAAAAAGTCCTTCAAAAACATTTTTTAAATTAATAAAAAGTTTCACATTTCACGCTTTGATAACATTGGATAAGACAAAAATATAAGCCAAAGTGGTTTAAACTTTATATGGGGCCTTTAACTGATTAATACAATTTTACACCCATTGGAAGGACTGTACTTACCCTTTGCATTCGTTTGACTTCACTTCTTAAAAGAGAGCTTCTTCGTCTTCAGTAATTTAACTAGACTCTGCACGCACTGACGCAGGGTAGACTGTACTGTGACTGGTTGGACAGAGTTGTATCAATCATACATGTAACTGCATGTCCAGTGAAAAATAACCAACTCTGATTATACCAAAGGTTGGAATTTGAATTATCATGCACATGATAGTGGTCAGATACCATGTTTAAACGTAAACCATGATACCATGGTATACCATGGTTTACCATGGTCTATCATGATCGGCAATGAAATTACCATCAACTCTGACCATGGTGGCAATGATGTTTTTTTGGTCAATTTTTGACCATGGTATACCATGGTATATCATGTTATACCATGTTTCATGGTATTTCATGTCCAAAGTTTGCCATCAAATACCATGGTATTTCATTGCCATGTTCCTGACCATCATTTACCATGGTATTACCATGGTATATCATGGTTGATTGCATTTCATTGTAAGATGTGACAATCAAATACCATGGTATTTCAATGCCATGTTCCTGACCATAATCTACCATGGTATATCATGGTTGATGACATTTCATTATAAGATGTGACAATCAAATACCATGGTCATACCATGGTATTTCATTGCCATGTACCTGACCATCATTTACCATGGTATTACCATTGTATATCATGGTTGATGGTATTTCATTGTACAATTTGACAATCAAATGTCATGGCCATACCATGATATTTTATTGTTATGTACCTGACCATCATTTACCATGGCATTACCATTGTTTATCATGGTTGATGACATTTCATGGCATTTCATTGTACCGTGTGACAATCAATTACCATGGTCATACCATGTCATTTCATTGCCAAAATCATAACTCTCATTTATCATGGTTTTATCATTGCATTTCATGGTTGGTGGTTTTTCATGGCATTTTATTGTCAAACCTGACCATCAAATACTATGGTCACACCATGGTATTTGAGTGCCATAATCATAACTATCATTTATCATGGCATATCATTGCATTTCGTGGTTGATTGTATTTCATAGCATTTCATTGTCAAACCTGACCATCAAATACCATGGTTATACCATGGTATTTCATTGCTAAAAAGAACTCTACAAGAGTCTCAAGTCTAAAATTGGTCAGAGTTGAAATGGATCATGAAATGCAATGAAATACCACGTTTAACCATGAAATGCAATGAAATACAATGATTGATCATGATATGCAATGAAATGCAATGGTCTTTCTTGCAATGCAGTGAAATACAATGAAAGGCCATGTTCAAAAAGTATTTTTTACGTGAAATATCTTTATTAATAAATGTTGATTAGATAACCAAATTATTATAATTAGTGATTCTGATATTCATCAAAATCACATCTTTATATACTTTTGTTCCTTTATTTAATAAATTAATTTCTATTATGATTAATTAAGTTAATAACCCTAGAAACAATTTTTTTTTTGTTAAACAAATATGCTTTACTTTTATTTGACTGTTGTCAGTTAAATAGGAGATCAACTTAATATTTTGTAAGTCAAACCTCCAGTCTTAGATTAAACATCTTGACTCTACTTCATTGCATTTGATGGTTTGCAACCATGAAATACTGCAAATAGCAGTATTTTTAAATGCAAAATTTTAAGTATAGTTTCCACGGTAGATTGTGATAATTAAATGGCACCATTGCATATCATGGTTAAATGTCTAGACCATGATATCACTGCATTTGATGGTATTTGACCATGAAATACTGTGAAACGGTGGTATTTTTTAGATACAAAATTACATGTTAATTGACCATGGTATACCATGGTATATCATGATAGTTAAATGGCACCATTGCATTTCATGGTCAGGAGCGTTTTTTTAACATGGAGTTTCCCATTGAAAAAATACTGCCGTTTCACAGTATTTCATAGTCAGAAACCATCAAATGCAATGATATCATGGTCAAGAAACCATCAAATGCAATGATATCATAGCCGAGAACTTGACCATGATATCATTGCATTTGATGGTTTCTGACCATGAAATACTGCGAAACGGCAGTATTTTTTCAATGGAAAACTCCATGTTAAAAACGCACTGTTAACAATGAAATGCAATGGTGCCATTTAACGTTCATGATCGGCCATGGTATTACCATGGTATTTCATTGCATTTCATGGCCATATACCATGGTATGCCATGGTCATACCATGGTATACCATGGTATGGCCATGGTCCATTTCAACATGGTAGTGATCTAAAATCCATAGCGCAAACAGGTACAAAATTGGACGGTGTTTACTACTATAATGAGATCAAGTGATCCTTACGATTATAGTGAGTTCCATTGCAGTTCGAAACTGAGGTACAAATCATAGACAAGGAAGTGCAAAACAAGATCGCTGAATAAAATAAAGGATAGTCTATAGAAGACTTATATTTTCCCCCAAAACTTAGACAATATTTGACTTCTAACAAACGGCGAATTATCGAAAACAAACGGCGATTTCGGACACTCGCCCCCTGCTATTGAAAGCCCAGTGATGTGCTTTTTCTGAGTCTTGGTGCCGCTTTCAGAACTTTGTCCCGATTTTCAGTGTTTTCAAAAATAACAAGTAGTGGTCTTCTAGAATCTCCCTCATGGGTCCCGAGCCTAGTTGTACGAGAAATGTTGACACTACCTAGTCCAAGTTGGAATTCGATTAAGTCACATACTACACTTATGTCTGCCATCTGACGCTGTCTTGCTGTATCCTGTCTACTTTCAGGGACATTTGAGGAGACAAGGTTGTTTTTTCTCTTGTCTTTCTCTTCAAGTTCTGTTATTATATCTGGCTTTTCTTGCACTATTTTCTTCATTTCAGACAGGTTAGTTTGTATTTCACTGATCTGTGTAGTAGTTCCAACGTTTTGTCTCTCCTCATTCACAGTCTGTTCGACTTGCTTGATCTCTTTCTCCAAATTTTCCATCTTGTCTATGAGGATATTATTGCTTGTCTTAAGTGTTTCTGTCACTATTGCAAAATCATTATACATTTTTCGCTCTAGTTCTAATATTTGTTTGGTTATTTTACTGTCGGCTGTTTTTGCTATTATTTCACTCTGCATTTTTAGAAACTTCTGTGTAATTGTAGCAGTCAATTTCTTGTTTGATATGGTAATGGCCTCATTGAGTTTTGTATTTGAGATGGTGTTCGATTCCAATAAATCTTTAACATTATTTTCACATGATATGCAGAACCAGTGAAGATTTTTATGGGCATTAATTGCCTTCAGTGCTGGTTTTGTCAAATTTTGACATTTATTACAGGACAACTGTCCTACATAGTTCACATTCTACTACACTCACATTTTTCTTACAGTACTCACATAGGTTGCTGGCTGTATCTTTGGGACGGGTTATGCCTTGTGAGGGTAATTCTGGTTCATTGTCTTGCTCTATGAATGTAGTATTCATGTCACTTTCATCCGAGTTCTCAGTCTGAATTGATCTTGATGGACTTTTATCTCTTTCCCCAATGTTTTGTGACTTCCTCATTTCAATTTTACTTGTATCTTGTGTTTTTAGGTAGCTATTTATTGGGGATAATTTCCTTAGCATGTCCATGTTGTTGTAGGTCAGAAAATCATTTGTTCGAGCTAAGGTAGTCTTTGGCACAGTGATAGCTGGTTGAAGAATATTAAATATCTATGTTTGTTTGTTTAAGGGCCCTTTTGACCACTTTGTGATGATAACAACTCCGTTTGTAATCTCCATAGATTTCATCACATTTAAGATATCAGTACCAAATGCCCCAAACACCATCATCGCTAAAACCTTCTACAAGTTCGCCAGTATTTTCAGGAACTCGGTATGCATAAGAATGATGACTAGTACGGGCTAGGTCTCAGATTCATCTATTAAATTAAATTCTGGTTAAAAATCGGGAGTTTTTACTACAGAATCGGGATGATTCGTTAACAAATTGGAAGTTTTGAACACAAAATCGGGATAATTTGTGAAAAAAATTCTTTAACTCGGGATATTTTACAAAAAAATTTGGAATGTATCCTTAAAATCGGGATTTCTCGAAAATCTGGATTTTGAAAAATAAATCTGGATAAGCAACAAAAAATCGGGATTTCTCCCGATTTAAATCGGGATTTGACAGGTGAGCGTATCCCAGGTAAAGGAGTGATATCGATATGGTGAACTTTTTGCGACACGCGTTTCTTTTAAACAAGTCATTAACACATTCTGAAAATTTACACATCATCAATTTAATGGTTGCATTATAATTTGAAATATGTATATATACTTTTTTCTATATTGTTTTAGAAAACACACCAGACACTTATTTTGTTCTTGGTATCATATGTTCGGGATGAAATGAAAATCTATCCGAACCTCATTGGAACAAAACGACATAAATACAACGTTTTTAGGTCTCTCAATATTGTAGTTGTACAAAGGAAAGTTTGGTTGATTTTAAAAAAGTATATTGTTAATGAAATAAAATATTTATCTTAATTTTTATCTATTTTGGGGGGTTTTGTTTTAATTTTTGCATGATTTTTGAGAGGTCTAAGAAAATGTTGTATGATCTATTTTGATCCAACAAGGTTCGGAAAGACATTTTATTCCACTCTCAAGAATTGGTAAAGAGGAACAAAAAATCAATTTTAACAAAAACAGTTTTAAAAAATATGTGTAAATAGTTTTTGCATTAAATTATTGCCAATCAGTCAACATTACATAACGAACCTTGTTTTTTTAAAGAATGTTTTCAATAATTGGTTTAAGAGAAAAACATTGTTGAATTCAGTTCACCATATCGATACATATCCTTTCCCAAAACTACACGACATATACTTCGTTCGGAGTTTGTGTAGGTTTAAAGTATGAAATTAACCTCCAAGTTCAAGTTCACTGTCTAGGAAAGAAGAGAGGTTAAGCTACACATATTGAACAAAACGTTAACGTGAACTTCAATGTGCGCGCCAATAAATGACGTCAGCTTTATTGAGCAAAGATATTGGTAGTTGAATGAATTTGTTACAGACGCCGAACGTCAAAGTAAGATCGCACGTTGGAAACTAGACAATATGTCACGATTTCTGTTGATGACATAAAATACAGGATGCCACTTAACCATTTAAAATCTAGATCTAATTTAAAGTGCAAATATTTTATTCAAGTTACTTATTAGAAAGTTAACATTAATTTCTACTTTAGACATCATTTCTGTTGGTATTCCCTTGAAGTTATGATGTGCCAATATGCCTTAGATAGCTCTGTTCCTAGCACTCTGGTGGACAAACATACTGTCTTTTAAATTCTGAATTATCTTCTTCAATGACATCCATATTTTCATAACTATCACTATCTAAAAAGAAAAATACATTAGCGATATTCAGATTACACCAACTCATTATTATGTTTTTTTCATTCTATATTGTTATATTCATTTTTAATTCAAAATGAATTTTATTGTTAACTATTTTGATATTTAATTTGCGACACAGTGTTTCCTAAAAAGTACAATATTATTGATACTGGAGATTTAGCTTTATTTTATCAGAATCAAACGCGAAAAGAAACAATGTCCAATGCCCCCCTCCTCAACTATTCAAGTTGCATAATCAAAACCGTAGCATCAAGAGACACTTCAGTTATACAGAAGCCAGAACAATATATGTTGTAGAATAAATATACTTGTACAAGCTAAACCTATACTGACACCTTCAAAGATAGTTGTAATTGTAGTTGTAAAAAGGCTTTTTACCTCTTTTTACCTCAGCAAATCCATCATCACCAAGTTCTAAATCATAAATTACATCTGATTACTAAAGCATGTGTACATGTGTACCAAAGATGACTAAAACGTTGGAACAAACACTATACTTGGAGCTTAAAATACGTATCGTTGTTTCGCCCTTTTTTCTTATGTTCTGGGTTATGGCCATTTTAGAAAAGATTGGTAACGTCATCTCAAAGTATTATTGTGAATAGTCCTCGATATTTTTGTTTAATAGCCCTATTTTTAAATGTCTTTACATCGGGAGAATTCAATAACAAGACGTCGAGACCGCAGAACGCTCCAATATATAATATAAATCTATAGTCTTAAGTTTCTTTTGATCAAGTGACATATTGACGAAGACCACTTTTCGACAGGTGCAGAAATTCAAAAACCAACAAGTAAACATCTACAATTTTGGCTGGAAATATTGTAAGTTCATGGTCGCACTGGTATTTATCCATTATTAAACAGTCGTACAGTAGATTGGGTAAGTACGATTAAATGTAATAAAATTAATCGAGCCAGCAAGATGCGCCCCGATATTAGGACTTTTTCCCAAAAACGACCAGTCCTCAAGGAGTTAAACAATTCAATTCAAATGAAGATATCTTAAGACTTCTAAAAGCGTGAAACCTTTTCTAGTTTTTATAAATAATTATTAAGACACTTTTGACAAATATTGATGTTTGCAAGTGAGTAACTTGAAATGCACTTACCCCTTTTCCCTTTATCTTTGAAACCTTCTCCGAAATCTTGTCCCGTAACGGTTGACACCAGTAACATCAGGACCATAAGGCAGAACACCGTGCGCGTTATTCCCATTGTTCTTTAAACCAAGAAAAATACAACCAGGCGAAGTTGAAAGGGGCATTAGAATGATACCTTATCTATTAGAGTGGTTTTTTTTTCACTTAAACCCCTATCAATAAAATAACTTTATATAATGGGATGTTACCTATTATACAATGTGTAAGTATGTAACCAGGTAACAATATCGAAATATTCTAGCCACATATGTGGTGTTCTCTGTCTCAACTTAATAATTTTTGCCTTACCTTGGATTGAGACCAGAATAACAGAACAGTATCTGATTCAGCCAAAGAAACATATTATATATATATATATATTATAAAATCAAACTCTACACTTATCTCGTTTCTTACCAGTTATGTGAAATGTACGTTGACGTTAGTTTGGTTCGCTGTTCGTCTCAATGTCTTAATTGAGTGACATACGCTATACTATTTGGATAACACTCAACTTATGTATCCTTCCGCCGCGTATTAATCTATTCTTCTCGGCAGGCTAAATACATGGTGTGTCAAGCGTACAGAACCTTCACCTTTAGGAATAAAAAAAAACAAAACAATCTTGGAATATTACAAGTGAAAACACTTATAAAGGGACCCCTTGACGAGTGTCTTTTTGTGCTATCATTGAGCAGAACTATTTTTTAGATTCCCCCAAGGTTATAATTTCTTGTGGGGATTAGACTTTGAGATAAGGTTTTCTCATATGACAAACAAAGATACAGCCATCTTTACCCCATGCAAGATATTGCCATCTTTCATCCTAAAAAGTCACACGTGCAAGATGAGATTTACTTGTGACATCACTGGTCTATAAACATCATCAACATGGCAACGGACACACCGTTGCTATGAGTATCCATGCTAATTCTACAAAACTAAGCTGTGACGTCATAACAATGGAGCTATGTTGCCACGTGTATCTATGTATTTTCTTCAATATTGTTATGACGTCATAACAATTGAAAGATGAAGTTCAATTAATTTGAAGCTATTTTTCACTAAGTTTTATGATAAAATAGTGAAAATATGGCATAATACAGAGTCATATGACAAAAACTTTCTTGTACTCGTACCTGTGCAAGATCGTCCATTCTTGACTCGCTTTGATAATGTTTCTTTATCTCGTCTTCGACTCGATAAAGAAGAATTATCAAAGCTCATCAAGAATGGACGATCTTGCACAGGTACTCATATAAGAACCTCTATATCTATATCTTTACAACAAAAATTCGAGACCTTTAATTTTTTCTCTTTCCTTAGTAGACATTTTTTCTACACTTATATTTTTCAGGGATTAAAAATGTTATACTTTGGATCTGCACTAATCAAATACCCTGTATGTCATATATTGGGTAAGAATATAGTCCAATCGTTGTTCACATGTGTTACATATGATCGAATACTGGTACCACTATGCTCGTTTGAGTCGCAGTTGTGTACGTGATAAAACGTTTCACGCAGGTAAGAGTTTTTTCAGAATATCCTTGTTATTAAGAAATCGAATCGTTTATCAATGTTTATAAGATTGAGTTCATGAGTTCATACTCAGACTCAAAGTAAGTCAAAACACATTGTTTCTAAACTAAAACGACCCT